CCAGGGGGGACTCGCCGAGCCCGGAAGGGCCCGGGACGTCCCGTGACCGGACGCAGCCTTGGCGTCCGGCCCGCCTCTGCCGCCGCCGCCGGCTTAGCAGGGCCCCAGGGGGGACCCGCCGAGCCCGGAAGGGCCCGGGACGTCCCGTGACCGGACGCAGCCTTGGCGTCCGGCCCGCCTCTGCCGCCGCCGCCGGCTTAGCAGGGCCCCTGTTCATAGGATTCTTCATCCTATCAGTGCCTACAGGATCCAAAGTGATAGCCCTTGTTTTGGTCTATCTGTGTCCTCTCTCTCTCTCTCTCTCTCTCTCTCTCTCTCTCATGAGTCTGGTTAGAATTCTGTCAATATTATTGAACTTTCCGAAGATCCATCTCTAGCTTTCAAGGATTTTTTTGTTCTACCATTTTTCTATTTCCAATTTCATCCATTTCTGCTTTTATCTTGTTCATTTTTTTAAACTTGCCATAGGGCATGTGAACTCACTGGAGAGAGACAGATTCACAGGGAGAGAGAAAGGGAGAAAGTAATCCTTAGGGGCATGGCCACACCACAATCCCTTCTCCTCCAATCTCCTCCTGGGATTTTGGGCACACATACACACATACCTGATGTGTTCTTCAAGCTGCCAGGTCTAGGACCTGAACCATTCAGTGGGCCATGGTAGAGGCCTTTGCCACCACACCATGAGTCAGCCCTGCTGCTGTCTTTACTATGTCATTCTTCCTGCTTGATTTGGATTGATTTTACCCTTTTTTTTTTTTTTTTTTTTTTTTTTAAGAGAGGTTTTTGCTATAGGGCGCGTGGACTCGCCAGAAAGAGAGAGACAGAGAGACAGAAAGTGAGAAATCACCCCCGCCAGGGGGGATGGCCATGCCGCAATTCCTTCTCCTCCATTCTCCTCTCGGGATCTTGGGCACATACGCACACGCGCCCAGTGTGAGCTTAAGTCACTGGGTCCGGGACTCGAACCATGGTTGACTACATGGGAGTCCAGCAACATAGCCATTATGCTAACTGTTGGTCCTTCTTTTCCAGGTTCTTAAGGTAAGAGTTTAGAGTAAAACGTTTTTTTTTTTTTTTTTTGGAGAGATTTTCACTGTAGGGTGCGTGCGCTCGCCAGACAGACAGAGAGAGACATAGAGACAGAAAGCGAGAAAT